ATTGTCACGTATTCCTTCTCTAATATTCTTCTGTATTGTGAATGTGAAACCAGTATCATTTTTAAACCCTTTAAAGAGCTTCCTTAAAAGATGTTTGTGGATGAGTTACACATTTCAAGTTCCTTTAACAGTTCACAAACTTAACTTCCTTCTTCCCCCTTAAAGTCCTTTGTTCTTTATACTCTTCTTACTGCATAGGAACTTCTGCCTCCCTTTAGTGGCATTTTGTCATTTCTAAAAAGCCCTAGACAGTTATGCCAGGTGACCACCTCCAAGCACATATGTGGTCTCTCTGATATCTACTCTAATCTACAGAGCTAATCTACTTCCATGGTTCAAACCTCACGCTACCCAGCCCTCCAGGCAGGTGCAAGGAGCTACTCCAACATGGTTGTTTTTATGGTATGTTCTCATAAGACTCAACTGCATCCTGCTATGTCTGACCCTTGAAGTCTCAGGAACTTCTAGTACCTTGAAAAAAAATACTGAATTGAAAGAAAATTAACTTGATTCCATCAAAAGGCAAAAAAAAAATTACAAATTCAAATCTGCAACTTATATCCTTGGCTGGGAAAATCCAGTTTTAAGGCAACATAAAATCAATTTCAGTTATTTCAACATTTAGGTATATTTCCTTGCACTGTAATATATTACAACTTCATCAGATAATGAAGAGATGTCTCAGATAACCCCTCTGACACTAATACCCCCTGTCTCAGTCCTTTTCATGTCACTACACATGTCCCTGAATTCTATAGAATACCTGCTTCTCAAACCTAATTCTCAGTATACTGCAAGTCAGTCTCCTGTTCTAATTCAACCACTACAAAGACAACGGCTATCCTTCCCTAGTGAATGTACACTGGAAAACACAGCTGGTATCTTTGTTCCAAAACAGTTAAACTGTTTAGTGGCAATCCTATAAAACTTTCAATAATAATGATAGCATAATAAAAGAAAATAATCTGGGCTGAGGAAAATTACCAGAGCACTGCTATGATACTGCCAAATTAAGTGCCACCACTATAGCACATTAATCCAAACAGTCCCAGAAAAACAGATCAACCAAAATAAATTCCACAAATTACCTTTTAACGCCAACAAACCAATTTTAATATGTTCCTCATACCAACTAAAATGTCTTTTTTTTTCCTTTAGGACACAACCCTTTGTAACTAAAGGAGAGAGTTATGCACTAAACACTGGGTGTACATAGTTTCTTGTTTCTTGTGACAAAATGTTAGGCAAAGGAGGAAAATAATTTGTCACATCAACAGGTCAGGTTTGTGTGCTCACTTCTGTCAAATGATTGGACTGCATACAACACTCAGTGGGTATCCCACTGAGGATAAGCACAGGCTGTAATACTTCATCAGAGTGACATCCCCATGAAGTATTAAAAGTGGACAGGCACCCTAATGGCACCAGTCAAGGAGGGTCTATGTCATGTCATTGGTGGTATGACAAAGGAAAACAGCAAGGAGAAGGAAGTCCATCATACTAAGTGCATCTGGCTAATTCATGAAGAGTTTGATTTGAAAAGTACAACTGTATCCACCTAGGGGATCAAATGATGCCCGGCTTCACATATGGAGCACAGAGTCCAGTGGGCACCACCAGGGAAGAACAAATGAAGAGAAGGGGGAAGGGAAGGGGCAGAGAAATAAAATTCAAAAGGCAGTGAACATCCTGAAAGAGAAAGTGGAATATAGACTCTAGACTACAGAAGTGGAGAACTGTTTTATGCTCTCTCAATGTAAGAGTCATTTGAGGAAAAGTACTAGTCAGAGCCAAGGACAAAGTCTTAGTCATCTATAGGACTCCATGGGGGGTGGGGGGGAGAGAAAGGGAGGAAGAGGGTGGGGAGAGAGGGAGGGAGGGGAGGGAGAGAGGGAGGGAGAGAGAGGAAGAGGGTGGGGAGAGAGGGAGGGAGGGAGAGAGAGAGAGAGAGAGAAAGTCTTGATACTCTACTGCTAGAAGCAATAAGTTTTTTCAGCAAGCTCAGAATTAAAGCAGACAATTTACTTAACAATATGCCATTTCTTGAAAGTCTGGGGTTCTTGGTAATGCTAAAATTATGCAATCGGTAGTTTGATTTTGCAATGTCTACTGACATGTGCAATTGGGGTTACTATGGGCTGGTCACGGTGTTAGGCCCAGGAGTTTTCTATGGCTGCCCATAACCACATTTAAAGGGCTTAAAAGCACCCATTTGGAATCTCTCAGGCCTGACAGGCTCTACTGGCTCACTCTAAGGAGCTGTTGCTCTCATGTCACCATAGGCTACTGAAGACACTGTGCCATAAGCCTACATTGCCAAGGTCTCCTTGCTGGTGCCAGGCTGCACTTTCAGAATCTGCCTGCATGCCCTGGCTCACAGCTCCTTCCAAGACCAGAGCCCCAGGTCGAGTCCCCCTTACACCTGGAATGTCTAAAGTTCCCACTGTTGGTTGCTCCAAGGTCTCTTCTCCTGCATCTGGAGGCTCTTCTATCATCTTATGCATCTCTTAAGGGATCCTGTGATGGTGTGGGCCACCCTGATCACCCAGGGTCAGCTCCATGTCTCAGGGTCAGCTAACTGATAAACTTGACTAACTCTGACTGATAATGAGGAAGGAATGTTTGGAGATGGAGGCAGAGAGAGTTGAGATCTGAGTCTTGAGAACCCCAGCACAAGCCATATTGTTCTCTCAATTAACACTCCCAGCAATTTCAATTTTAATTCTAGTGGAATGCAAGCCAATTTATCTGTTGTCCAGATCATCTGTTTTACGTCACAAAAAAAAACACAGTAAAGAAATACTTTTGAATGAAGCAATAAACCATGGTTAACTATTTAATCTTCTGATGGGTATAGCACAAAAGAAACTGAAAAACAAAACCTCACAGCAAAGAGGAAATGAAAAAAATGAGAATGAAATTAAAAGATTAAAAACCAATCTGATGGATGATAACATATACCAAATGATTAACATAACTATTGTGAAGGCTCATACTAAGAGCCAAATTATTTTCAAGAAATAACCTAGACTTCCTTCTTTTGCTTTGCATATGGAAATCCTAGGTTAGATTCTTGGTGTCATACGGTTCCCCACATACCTCTAGCCTGGTCACTGCTAAATGTGGCCACAGAACAAAATAACCTCTACCCCATGCATATTACACAGAGTAACTTTTCCACAAATCACAGGAATAGGCATTGAACCATGGGGTTTTCTATAAAGTCAGCAAAATACTTGTTAGTCATTTTTAAAGGAAGTGTTTAATACAGAAGTGAAGTAGACAACAAATAAGACATATGTAATGGAAAAGGCAGAATTCAGGAGCAGAGTTTTTGTTTGATTTTGGACCACACCCAGCGGTGCTCAGCAGAGTTAACTCGTGGAGCTCCTCGATGGACAATATGTACCAGTGACTGAGTTGAGGTCAGCTGCATGCTAGGCAGTACCTTAATCCTTCTACTGTCTCTCTGGCCCAGAAGGCAAGAGTAGGTGCAGCTGACTGTGTACACTTTGGAGTCAACAACCCGACTGAATTCTGGTGTGGTTGCTTGAAAGCCTTAGAACTCTGGTCTGGTACCACCTCGATTGTAGTTTCTCTTAGATGTAAGTGCGAAGGCCAAGACTACCTCTCAGGATGACTAATGGATGTGATACTAAGACTATTAATCAAGAACTGGAAGAAGTTTTCATCAGAATACCTCAGACAAGTTCCAACATCTATGAAAGGTCCCTTAGTCTTCCGTGGCTGTGAGAATCAAGATAGCACAGAGTGAGATGGGTTAAAACCAGAGAAATGAAAGCTCCCACATCCGCAGAAGTCAAATCAGAAAACAAGGTGCTGGCGAGGGAGCAGGTGCTTCCTCCAAGGCTCTTGGGGACCATGTCCCCAGGTCTCTCCCAGACCTCCTGAGACTTCTCATACCTGTCTCTACCTCCATGTTCACAGGGCTGTCTTTTCTTTTCCCCACGTGTCCATGCTATCTCTTAAAGACAACTGTCAATGGAATGACAGTCAACCTCAAAATCTAGGATTCCCCATCTCCCAGGGATCCCTGTCCTAGTTCCATCTGCAAAGATTCTATTTGCAAAGAGGGCCATAGTCCCCCACATCACAATTCCTTTAAAGCTACTGGGGGGCTTTACACTCTTCTATGACGAATTTCATTACAAATTCAGCATTCCTTGTCAACTAACTTCCCATAGGAGCTAGACATACAGTGAGGGGCAGGGAAGACCGAAGGGACCTAAGACAGTGGCAGAGGGTCATAGGTGGTAGGGTGGTGGTGGGGTACAGTGACTCCATACCTCAATACTCCAAACTTGACCAAAATGATAACTATATTATCTAATTATAATTAAAAAACTCTTTTTTTTGAAAGACAAGTAACTAGAAGTAATTTCATGCATGCAAGGCAGGAAGCAGGTTTACTGGGTAAAAAAAAAAATGGACATACATGACATGAATCCTTCTTTAGTAGACCAGAGTTCAAAACCAGGCACACCATGCAATAGTGAAGACAGAGACACACCTTTCAGAATTTGGTGTCGGGGAGGCAGGGGAGAGGGTGTGTATGGCATGGGTTGGGCCACACCTGAAAGTGTTCCTGATTCTGCACTCAGGAATTACTCCTGGTGGTGCTCAAGGAACCATATGGGATGCTAGGGATAAAACCTGGGTCAACTGTATGCAAGGCAAGCACCCTTCCCATTGTACTATCTCTCTCAATGCCCTACCAAGCACTTATTAACAGTAAATAGAACACTGCCTTATACATGGCAAGAATATTTCAACAGTTCGACAATTTGAAGACAGGGATATGACTCAGGAGCAGAGTTCAGGCCTTGCATGTGTGAGGCCTGGGTTTGAACCCTAGCCCCACAATCAACAAAAAGACTTCTTAAATCCCATGTGGTTGGATCATACTGCTTACTTTTAGGGATGCCAGTGAGACCACTCACCAGGCTCAAGAGACAATCAGGCCCAACAGTCTCACTCACCTTCAATATAGAGGGGCTCTACCACATCGTGGTTAATTAATTCAAAGTTTTCATGGCCAATCCAGTGCTCCACATTTCTCTTCCTGCCTGTGAAGAAGTTGTCCACCACAGTCACCTCGTGGCCATCCATCATGAGTTTGTCCGTGAGATGGGAACCCACAAATCCTGCTCCACCGGTTATCTGCATCAGGACAGTGCATAAAGCATCCACAGAAAAGGCAAAAGAGAACATGATGACGACCAACTTCAAGGAAGCATGCTGCTGGTGCTGTCACACATTAAAACTTGGGTTTTAGAGTGACTTCTTTACTTCTACCCTAGAGCAAGGAACTATTACTTTACATGAACTTCTACAGAGTCTAAAGTGCTAAACTATCACCCAATAAAATACAGAAAGATAGTAGTCATAAGTTTCAAAATATCTTGACAGAAAGTTTATGTTACTGAAAGGTTCTTGGACAAGCATATTCTTGAAAGTCGGAACAACTTTTAAGTTATAAAGGGATTAGCAAAATACAGACATCTGTTAAGTGGCAAAGAAAGCCAGCACTGATCCTTAAATATCACTACAGTTCCTCACATACAACTAGTATCTTTCCACTTATTTCATAAGAACCCATCAATTAGTAATGGATGCTGATGGCAGACCAAAACCCTAAGTGGGTAACTTCCACTGCTGTGGTGAACACTGGGCAGGAATGTGAAAATGATGCTCTACCATGAGGACTGTAATGGGGAAGAGACCCACAACAAGGAGTTCCTGACACTGAAGCCACAACAAAAGTGAAAAGTCAAGTACATTTTTTTTTTAAAAGCATTTTAAACACTGACAAAGACTATTCAAACTAAATAGTGCAAGTGTGTGTGGGAGGAACCTAAATGAAGGCAGATCTAACAACTGGAAGGGAGGAGCCAAAAACAATGAACTCAGAAAACCGACAAGCAATGTAAATGTAGTCTCTGTCCCATTCTACCTGATTTTCTTCTCAGCCTTTTCTTTCCTCACAATTCTCATTCTACCTCTTGTTCTAGACCTAATGAAATAACCGAAGGAAAATAGCAATTCATTTCATCAAAAATAAAATACCCATAAACTTCTGGGGGGGGTCTTAAAGCAGCTGCTCATCTGTCATCAAGCCCTCTGTTCAAATATAATCTGACACCGAATTCTAGTGTTAAGCACAGGTAAGAACTTGTGGTCCCAGGTGAGAAGTTAGGCTTCTAACTTCTCACCTGGGGGGGTTGGGGGGAACGGTAAGAGAACCCTAATAAGAGAAGAACATCTGTCAATCACTGCCAGACGACAGAGCAAGCACCTTGGTTCAGAAGGCGAATGGGAGAAAAGTCCTGATGTTTAACAGCTTTCAGTTGTCCACATACATTCATTGGTAAGGACAGCATTCTCAAAACACCCTCTATTAGGAACACGAAAATCAACACCTGGGCTGGCCTTCTTTAAGTCAAAATCCCTAGTGATGAGCACTGAAGCCCCAGTCCTCTGGCTTATACATTCTCCTCACTTGTCTGTCCATTTGTTTGCTCTATGCTTTATCTTATCTTCATGCTTTATCATGTTTATCCTACATTGTACCTGCACACCTGAACAGTATTTAAAAAAAAGAATCTTCTAATAAAATTAACTGAATTCCAAAACTGGTTGCCATTAGTGCTTAAATTAAACAAGTGATAATATTTTTTATTTTTTTGCTTTTTGGGTCACACCCAGCTATGCTCAGGGGTTACTCCTGGCTCATGCACTCAGGAATTGCTCCTGGCGGTGCTTGGGGGACCATATGGGATGCTGGGAATCGAACCTGTGTCGGCCATGTTGGCTGCATGCAAGGCAAATGCCCTACCCGCCGTGCTATTGCTCCAGCCCCAAGATTTTAAATTTTTATTTTCATTTTTCTGCATTTTCCCAAGTTCTGCACAGTTCTTAAATGATAGTACTAAAATAACCTAAGTAATAAAATAACTTAAAAATAACCTTTCAAAGTGAGTATATATGCAAAGTAAAAACTACAGCATACAAAGTTTCTTTTCAAAAGAAGATATTCTGCAGCATGCTAACTTTAACTCTGTATCAAAATGAAAATGGAAGTACAAGTAGCAGAAAGGCAATGTGTTAAATTGGACACAATCCCCTCCAACATTTCACTCATCATAGCAGTTCATTAAATGATTGGAACACCACTAAATCCAAAGCTTCAGTCTTGAAAAATCCTTCAAGTTTTAGATCACATAGCTGGGTGATTCATAAAATGCTTCTCCTGCTCAACTGCCAGTCTGTATGGCAAGCATCTCAAATAGCTGCAAAAGGGAGGACCCCTTGACCCCAGAGAAGCTTCCATGGAAAAACTAGTCATCAAACTAAGATACTTTCTGAATAACAAAGAGGAAGCAGGAGGAAACAGGCCTGTGTCCTCTTTAACTGAAAACCGGTGAAACCTTATAGGGCTCTGCTCTGGCTGGCTCTGCAGCTCCTACGTGCCCCTCTTTGTGCTTGTATCTTTGTTTCCATGGGACTGATAGGCAATGATGGGAGGTCATGCAAGGTCAGCATCCACAATCATACTGAGATGCAACACGGCAACAAGGTTCTCTTTTGACAAGCCTCTTCCTTCAATGGTTCCTGGGAGGGCCTGAAGTTTCAGCTACACTGTGCCAGATGGGGCTCTCTCTAAATGACTGACATGTGGCTTACCTTATGAGATGGCAGATGAGTGAAATACTAAAAGTTCACTGGTTGTGACTATGTATACAGTGAAATAAATTCCCTAATACTCAGCATCAACAGGAACTGAGTATCGCACATAATAATAATTATGTCCTTTATTTTTTTTTAAATAAGATTTCTAGGTTTTGCAAGATTTTTTTCTCAGATACCCATGCATGCCTGAGACATCTGAGGCACCCTGGAGGGGGGTGGGTTCTGGATTGACCTGCCCAAACAGAGCCCCAGCAGCCCTTGCTCCCACTTCAAGATTGCTGCCATGCCCAGGGCTGGACTCCACTGTCTTCGGCACCAAGCCTCACCCAGAAATTAATCTGCTGAAAAATTCAAGTTTGCAGGCTCTTTCACAGTCGGGATGGGCTACCTCCCACCAGCTCCCTGTAATTCCAGACACCCTGGCAGTCACTCACACATCCCAAAGCTGCCACTCAGTTAACAATTTAACTCCAGCTTTACCACCCTGTAAAAATTCTGGACTTCCTGGAGCAATATTTCAAACTTTACAACACTGATAAACTAGCAGTAGCATACTGGATTGGATGGGATATAATTGTAGAAGGAACCCAATCTCAATGAACAAAACATAAACACAGAAGGCTTAAACAGCAACAACATTTTAGTAATCTCTTATACAAAGACAGTATCTCCATGTTGAGATGCAATTTATACTAAGTTTCTTCTAAGGAAACATTTTTTGATCATTCGGTTAGCAAATGAATTCACTGATAACAGTACAGAATAAAGTATTGAGGGTCTGCTATGGGGACAGGCTTAAGGGGCTTGGGTAAATTTGAGTCAATGGTGGCAGGAAAATTTAATGGTTGTGAGATTTATGTTAGAATATTGGACGCCTGTAACAAATCATCATGAACAACTTTGTAAACCACAGTGGATATATAAAGTGGAGAGGGAAAATTTACATATGTAGGCCTTACCTATCCCAGGTAGACTCCAAAATATATTAACACAGAATTGCTTTAAAATTTTTATTAATGACAGGTGAGACATGATTATTTATAATGAGATCCAAGTATAAAATAAGTTAATGTAATATAATTTAGATTCCAGAGTTAAAAACATATGCATGTAAATGAGAACAGGTATTTTATTATTATATTGTATTAAATGGTTTTAATTTTCTTATTTATATAGGTCAAGGGCTGGAGCGATAGCACAGCGGTAGGGTGTTTGCTTTGCACGCAGCCAACATGGCCGACCCGAGTTTAATTCCTCCGCCCTTCTCGGAAAGCCTGGCAAGCTACCGAGAGTATCTCGCCCGCACGGCAGAGCCTGGCGAGCTATCTGTGATGTATTCGATATGTCAAACACAGTAACAACAAGTCTCATGATGGAGATGTTACTGGGCCCGCAGGAGCAAATCGATGAACAACAGGAGGACTGTGACCGTGACATAGGTCAAAATCATACAGTAATCACAGACTGACTTTTACTGATTTATTTTCAGATCATTCAATTTGCCAGTTCTTAAAAGTTTTGTTGGAATAAACAATATAAATTTGTTATGTGCCTAAGGGGAAAGGTTTGGATTTGGAGGGAAACTGGCAATATGGATGAAGAGGTCATACTGGTGGTGTTGGAACACTAATTGTTTGAAACAACTGTATAATGAACAACTTTGTGAATCACTGTTTTTTCTTTTTGCTTTTTGGGTCACACCTGGCGATGCTCAGGGGTTACTCCTGGTTTATGCACTCAAGAATGACTCCTGGCTGTACTAGGGGGACCATATGGGATGCTGGGAATCGAACCTGTGTTGGCCATGTTGGCTGCATGCAAGGCAAACGCCCTCCCTGCTGTGCTATCGCTCCAGCCCCAAATCAATGTTTTTAATAAAAACAAATTTTTTTAGGAAGACTCATAGGCTTCAAACCTAGAACACCAGATCTGCTGAAAACATTTATTTACCCCTTAATTCATGCTTAAATGCAGGCATGGTTCTATTGATGAAAATAATCCCCAAAGATGGATGGCAGAGTCTGCTCAGGGTAAGATTTATGTATATTATCCCAAAAGGCAGGAGCTCTCCATAACATGTAGACAATAAAGAAAATTATGGGAAAACAACTTTAAAGTTGATTCAAGAGCATTACTTGAGTGCTTGGGATACATAATCCTAACAGCCAATATGATAATAGAACAAAAGACAATCTATGTATAAAGCAATAATGTGTCAAGGTCACAGATTTAAAGGAGCGAAAATCATTCTTGAGGCCCAGAGAAAGAGCACAGAAGGTGAGGCTCTTGCCTGGTCATGGTTATGATCTTTCTTGAGCACATATAAGGGAATAGTCCCCGAGCACTGTCAGATGTGATTCCAAAACAAAAAATAAAATTCCCACAGAGTTTCAAACTTCTTGAGGAAAAAGAGGTGTAAAATGCCCCTCAGACCTGTTTCCCAGCAAAAACATTAAGTGGTAAAAATCACTGAGAACCTCCCCTTCCACCTCAGTTCAGAATGAGTGCGGAAAGAGGTGTGGTCCAAAGCAAGGCATCTCCCAGGAAAGGGCAATTCTTGTCACCCTGAGACAGAGGTTCACTCTTGGGAATCTTATCAAGGAGTTCAGAGCTGCCTTCCTCCACCCGGTTCCCAAATATAAGGACAGCATAAATGGGTCAATCTGGACCCAGCTTGCTCCAAGGGTACAAATTCTACACTGAGAGGTAAGGTCAGATGAAGAGTTAGAATGATGCCCCCAGCTCTAAAGAAATGCCTTAAAGATTTCCTCAAGGACAGAGCTCTCCGGCTCTCCCCAAAGGAGAAAGTGAGAGAACTGAAGATCGGGGCAACGCTTCCTCAAAGCCATGGAGATCTTAGGTGGCAAAGAAGAAAAAGAAGGTAGGTAGCTCTGTGGAAACAACCACAGAGCAGTTAACTGAGCAGAGACCAAGGAGTCTCCCAATGGTCAGGACAAACCCTTAAAAGGGTGGCCTACAGAGCTACCTCTGCAAAGGGGTAGGAATTTAATGGCTCAGATTGGAGAACAAGTCATGACCTAGTCTTGTGCAGACAACACACCTGCAGATAATAGACCACTCAAGCTACAAGCTCTGAAGTCCCACAGCTGGTGTGAGAACAAGGCAAGGGAACTGAGCAGAAAGTCAGAGAGAGCAGGCTGAATACTGCTCAGTAAAATAATGTCCTTCTCAGTACCTCAGCCAGCAGCCTTATTCAGAAAGCAGGCTATTGCTAGTAAAGTTAAAGGTCAGATTAGCACTGGCTAGACACTGAATCCAGCCAGAGAGACTCACAGGGAGAATTCCAGAGTGCGGTGGAGGCAAAGACTGGAGTGATACGTCCACAAGCCAGAAGATTCAAAGATGAGTCCCTGCACAGAAGCTAAGACATAGAACATATTTTCCCTTAGAGCCTTTAGTGCAGGGGTGGGGAACCTTTTCTATGCCAAGGGTCAGTCATCTGGATATTTATTACATCATTCACAAGCCCTAGAATACAGAGAGGGGCCCCAGGCAGCCAGCCAGCTGGCGTGTCTGTCACACCACAAACTCCAAGACTTTTGAGGCCTGATGCCGGTTCTGGGACCGGCATTCCCCAATGGACAGACATTCTCCTAATCATGGCAACACATTGACCTTCTACTTCCAGCCCCCAGAAGTTGAAGGGATAACACACACATGTGGTAACTGTCAGAACAGATCTATAGAAAAATCCTCTGAAGATACTATCACAGCTGATTGTTTCAACAAATCATGAAGAAAGCTGACTGAGAACATTCAGTGTCCTCCCCCCGCCCCCCCAAAATCAGAAGACTAAACATTTCTCTTATGCTATAAAGCAATTACTTATTACCATGATGACAAAGCCCCACATGATCCATCAAGCCCCACCAGGAGAGATCCCTGAGTGCAAAGCCAAGAATAAGTCCTGAGCATGACAGGTATACCCGCCCACCAAACAAACAAAAGATCAGTATCAGTTTCACAACTCTAAATATACTAAAAAGAAGTGAACTGTACATTTTTAACAGTTATGGATATAGTTTACAAATTATATCGAGAAAGTTCTTATTTAGAAAAAATAAAAAGCTGCCACTGTCTTTAGACACAAAAATTTAAAAGGGATTTCAATGAAGACTGATTGGTTGGTGACATGAAGACTACTAGTCAATGAAGTTCCCATTAAATCACTGCTTTCTGAAATGCCACATGCTATGTTCATTCCAGCACTATTCACAATAGGCAAAATCTGGAAACAACCCAAGTTCCCAAGAAAAGATGACTGGATGAAGAAACTAGGGTACATCTACACAATGGAATACTTTGCAGCCACCAGGAAAAAAATGAAGTCATGAAATTTGCTTATAAATGGATGGGAATTGAGAGTATCATGCTAAGTGAAATGAATCAGAAGGATGAATGACAGCACTCATAGAAAGCATAGTTGAGACTATAACCCAAGGACAGCAGAAACAAGGGACAGGAAGTCTGGTCTAGGGTTGGAAACTTACCACAATTGGGGGGTGAAATGGCAGTTAGAATAGAGAAGGGGCCACTATGACAATGATAGTTGGAAATGATTGCTCTGGACAAGAACTGAGAGCTAAAAGTTGGTAAAGGAATATATGATCACCTTTCAGTACCCATAATGCAAACCTTAATGCCCTAAAGGGAGGGTGCAAGAGAGAGAGGAGGAGAAGGAGGAGGAGGAGGAGAAGAGGTGAAGAGAAGAGGAGAAGAAGAGGGAGGAGGAGGAGGCAGAGGAGAAGAGGAGAAGAAGAAGAGGGAGGAGGAGGAGGAGATGGAAGAGGAGGAGGCTGAGGAGTAGGAAGAAGAGGAGGAGGAGAAGAAGAAGCAGCAGCAGCAGCAGACTGGGTGACATTTGTGGTGGAAAATGTACATTAATGAAGGGTTAGTTGTTGGAATACTACTAATTGAAACCTAATCATGAACAACTTTATAACTATGTATCTCATGGTGGTTTAATTAAAAAAATCACTGCTCTGGAGGGGCCAGAATGATAGTACAGTGAGTAGGGTCTTTGCCCTTCATGCAGCTGACCTGGGTTCAATCTCCAGTACCTATATGGTCCCACTAGCACCACAAGTAGTGGTTCCTGAGCACAGACACAGGAATAATCACTGAGTGCTACCAGGTGTGACCCACAAACAAAAACCCAAAAACCAAAAGCTGCCCTGAAAAAGTCTTTTATTTCCTCAAGAAGTTACATAGAGGGTCACCACATAACCCAGTAACTATTCCACGGCAGCCTAATTTTTAATAGCCTCAAAATAGAACCGTCCCCAAATGCCCAACTGAGAAATAAGCACACCATACGTGGTTCTTTGTACAACAGAACTGTTCTTCCCCATAAAGATGAATGATGTGGTGATTCTTGCTACAGCATGAATAGACCTTGGAAACATTCTAGTTTGAGAAATTAGGTAAGAAGGAACTCAAGAGATAACACTTGGTGCATATGCATGAAAGGTCTGAAACACTAAAATCCACAGAAACAGGAAGTTTCATGGTTGTCAGAATCTGGGGCTAACGGGAATGAGAAATAACTGCTAATGGGTTTGTTTATAGGTGACAAAAACTCTGGGAATTAGAGGTGACACTGATGCCATTTGTGATATGTCATAAACCAGTACACCACACTACATACTTTATTAGGTTTATTTTCATAGAACATGAATTATACCTTGACTTAAAAAATACCCCCCTTATATTTACTTTTAAAAATATTAACCAGACCTGTGCCAACTTACCAAAATTCTTTTCCGATCCTTTTCTGATAAAAATTTGACAGGCGGGTATTTCTGGGTGAAACTAGATACACAGAGAAATTGAAAAAACAAAAGTCAAACATCTAAGGTGAATTATTTCTTCACCTGCCATCCAAAAAATAAGTACCTGATTTTGCAATTGTTACTGTGAGTTGTGAGAGCCAAGCAATCACTGACCAATTAGAATTTGAGAAATGTCTAATCAGTTCCTTGTCCAGAAGCACACTAAGGACCTGACGTGAGATTATGGCCCTAAGAAGGGAAAGGTTAAGGACACACACAAAGTGTCACAAAGGAAATGAGGGCGAACAGTCTGTACCATAGCATTGTCTATGACGCCATTTCCTAATGATGTCCTGTTGGAACTCAGAAGGAAGAATTCAGCCACAAGAACTCATTACCCAGAACAATGCAGGAGTCCATGTCTTACAAGGTTCAGAAAAAACATAAACTAACCCCACTCCCCTGTGCCTTGGGTACCCAACTGCTGGCACTCCTCCCAGACCAATGACTTGAACAAAACTGCACTTTCTCTCAAGGACCACTCTGAAACTAGGTGTGACCTGCTGTCGCCTTGACTCTTTCCCCAGAGGAAAGGTGATACAGTTCCCTCCATTCACACCGATGTTTCAGAGCGGGGCAATGTTAACTATACACACCAGGTGAAGAGTCAGTAAGAACATATTTGAAGTGGCCATCCTGAAAACAGCTCCATAAGGAATAAAGACAGATTCGGGGGTGGAGGGAAGTCAGCTTTACAATATAATCTTAACCCAACAAACAGCTGGCTGGCCGGGGGCACTACTGCATCCCTGCTATACACAGCCCCCAGCCTGCTCCTACGCCAGGTCTGGAAGAGAGAAGGCATTTTCTGGAGGGCTGCTCATGGAAGACCATGAGGGAGATGCTTCTAGGCCCCAGAAAGACAACGTGGAGGTAGACAAGCATAGTTCTCTTTGGAAATGAAGATTAGTTCTCTGAGTCTCAAAAGATCAAGTTATCCCTGTCCAAAACAAAAGCAGGACATTAATGGCAGAGCATGAGAGCAGATAAGCACCTCACTGCAAGCACAAGCTCTGTGACCTTGCAATAAAGCCCCCAAGAGCGTGGTGTCCTCAGAGTCAAGGGGAGCAACTGCTCTGTAAGATGTGTACTCAGTGAATAGGATGGAATCAAGAGGGAGTTCTAAACTGAGGCAGATGCCCTGTTCACAAACCAATCTTTGTGTCCTGCAGAACAGATCCTCAATGGCTCGGCTGGGGCACACAGTGCAACCCTTAGCGCTGTTGTGCTCCTCTCCCAAATGTCAGCTCTCTTTTCCAATTCCCCATTTGGGGGATCACTCCAGCATCCACATCGGTTCCAGGTGCAATTCAGAAGTCTTTTAGTTTCCTTTCAATCCTACACCCAAAACTTTCCACTGCTGCCCCAGTTAAGTTCTGCGGGCTGACACAGAATTTGCTGTCTCTATCTCTGATCACAGCATGGTGGTCCACCCCTCCACCACCAGCATGATCTTAAGAGCATGACATGGCAGAAGGGTGACTGATGAACAATGGTAAACAGAGGAAGACAGGGATCAGAGACTCAGAACTGAGAGGAGAGCACCCTAGGAATAAGAATATGCAGCTAAGGTTTTCACCCAGAGCAGTATCTGCCTAAAAGCTCAGCATTAAATCTGACGTGTTACTTACACCAGGAAAAGAACAAATTCTCCTTACCAAAAACATACTTCAAAAAAAGAAATCTCGTGCAAAATCATAACTGCCTGACAATTACATGTTTCGGTGGGTATAAAATATACTTCAGATATGCTTCTTCTGAAAAACCAGAAAGGGCATGGTCCTCCTGTTGCTCATCGATTTGCTTGAGCGGGCACCAGTAACATCTCCATTGTAAGACTTGTTGTTACTGTTTTTGGCATATCAAATACGCCATGAGGAGCTTGCCAGGCTCTGCTCTGCTGGTGGGATACTCTCAGTAGCTTGTTGGGTTCTCTGAGACGAGGGATCGAACCCAGGTTGGCCGCATGCAAGGCAAAAGCCCTACTACCTGCTTTGCTATCACTCCAGCCCCATCAGAAAGGGAGGACAGAGAAATAGTATTAGGACTGGGTGCATATTTTGCATGTGGCCAGCTTGGGCTCAATCTCCAGCACCACATAGGGTCCCCTGAGTACCACAAGGAGTAATCCCTGAGTACAGAGTCAGGAAGTAAACCCTGAGTGGCATTTTTGTTTTATTAATCCCTACAAATTTTGGATTTGAAATGTGGGAACAAGTTAGACTTCAAATAAGACTTGAGACCAAGAAATATAAAAGCAGAAGAACTACCTGGGACCCTTTGTTCCTCTGAGAAGTCAGGCCTATAGAGCCATGAGTGGGAGCAGGGCTCAGACCTGAGCCGGCACTTCCCATTGTCTGCTGCCTGTAGAGTGGACAACAGAGCCCAGTCGCTGTGTGGTTATGAAGGGAGGGACAAGTGAAAGACTCAGCAACTCTCAGCACCCTCCAAGGCCCCCCTGCATTTCCCAAGCACAGAAGATAGGGGAGAGAATCAAGCTTCTAAGGTTGAAGAAAGGTTAAAATCCTACCCAGCATACTATCATTCCTAGCATACAATCCTACTCAGCATGGGCAGTCACTGGACCGTATGCCAAGGCCTTGGCAATAGCATCAAAGCAGGAGGAGGTAAGGTCTTACCCACCTGGAACAATCCATGCTCTGCATTTTTGAGAAGCAGGCAATGGGGCAGAAAAGGGTGGAACGACTAAGGGATATATATATATATATTTTTACCTTCGCTGATTTTTTTTTTTAAGTCATCCTAGACTCTAGTCTAGGGAACCATCTACTAAGGTAACTAAGTATCTATAGATACTGAGAAATTGAAGAACACTGACTAGATAGCAAGTGATGGAATAAGCATAAAATTACATGTATCATATAAGCAATGTATTAAGAACCCTCTACAGAACTGAGCTTAGCATCTAAGGGGATGTTCCAGGAGAAATGGGTGCACCAGTGGAGGGAAGTGAGTGGACACTGAGAGAGGGTCTGGTGTCAGGACACTGGGTGTATGAAACCGAACCATTATCACAATGTAAACCACAGTTCCTAAAATAGAAGAAGAGAGCAAAAAATACAGTACTTAAATTTTTTTTTTTTACAAAGAAATGGGGGTGTGAAAAGAGAAAAAGCCCATGTAATCCTAAAGCTTCTTAAATGACACTTTACTCAATTCATTCCGGGTATAAATCCACCTTTCAAAATCATCCTTTCTGGAAGCCTCTATGCTCACAAGCACATCAAGGCACTGTGTTTCTAATCTGGCACTGATCTGGCCAGTGCCAATGGGGCGGTGTGATAATTTCTAACATGTACTCATTCGGGGAAATGAGCCCAGGCAGAGAGCCATGCATTTCCACTGCAAAGTCATGTCCTCACTTAAATGTTCTGAGACAGTGACTGAGCTCATCTATACTCCAACCCACTCCCCCACATGAAGAACAGAACCACTTTAGAACGAGAGCCTCATTCCATGCACTTGCTTGCCACTCAGCACAGATTGGCCAGAATGAGCTCCTAGTAAATGCTTGAAAACCAGAACCACACACCATTCTCTCTCCCGTTTAGCAAGCACAAAGCGCACTGATCATGAGGAAAATGCAAATCAAAACAACACTGAGATATCACCAAATACTATAGAGACTGGCACTCATCAAAAACAAACAAACAAACAAACCAAAACCAATCTTGGCTTCAATTTGGAAAAAAGGGACCCTCATAACTGCTGGTGTGAATGTCCACTAGTCTAGCCTTTTGGGAAGGAATTAGAGACATGCCTCAGAAAAACTAGAAATTGAATTTTCATATGAATAGATCGTTACACTCCTGAGAATAAATCTCAAGGGCCCAAAACCACAACACAGAAAAGACATCTGCACTCCTATGCTCGTTGTAGACTATTCACAACAGTCAACATCAGGAAATAATCCAGGTGCCCAAGAATGAATAAGGAAGTTACCGTATAAATACACAATGGAAAACTACACAGCTGTTAGAAAAGGCGAAGTCAAGCCATCTGTTGATACGTGGATAGATCTGGAGAGTATCATGCTGAGTGAAATGAGTCAGAGGAGGACAGACACAGAATGGTTGCACATATTTGTGGACTATAAAGAAACACAGTAGGAGAAAAATGCTCATAAACAATAAAAAGGACAGAAGAGCCAGACCCTAGTAGGAAATTTGCTACAGTGTGGGAAGGAGAATATAGAATAGGGAAGGGCCCACTATGACAATGACAGAAGGATATGAACACTCTAGAAGAGAACTGGGTCCTGAAAGGAGGTAAACATGAGACCCCTTCAGTAATAGTGGGAAAAAGAAAGAGTACCTGCCACAGAGGCAGCCTGGGGGTGGGAGGGAAACCGGGGACACTGGTGAAGGGACTGCTGCTCAAACACTGTACCCCTGAAACTCAATCATAGCTGACTTTGTAAGTCTGAGGCCAAGGCCTTGTGTCTAAGTCATTTGTCTTATGGGAAAGTCATCTGATTCACTTTTCATAAATTTTATTCTCTAAAGAATAGAATCTATGCCGTAACACCCTGAATGTGCCCAATCAGATCCAGAAGCTAAGCAGGGTTGGGCCTGGTTAGTACTTGGATGGGAGACTGCCTCGGAATACCGGGTGCTGTAGGATTTTTGGAGAGGGGGTAACAAAAAGAAGAAGAAAAGAATGACCAGAGGGCAGATTTTTTTTTCTAAAATTCTTATAAAATTTATTTTTAAAAACCTGTAGGGGCCAGGTGGTACAGTGGTTAGAGTGAATCCGAGGCACACAATCCCCAATAACATTGGGGTCCCAATGACACCGGTATGGCCACACCATCCTCAGGTTCTTGCACTTAACTACCTGCCTGGCTGGCCGAGAATCACCACTGGGACCCACAGACCTCCTGAGCACTACTTGGAAAGCAAAAGACAAGTGGTGGTTTATTTCTTACCTTAAACAAGCTAGCTTTTAAGAAGCTTTGATTAAAACCTCTCAAAAGTGTCTAGGCCTCCTGCAATGAAATGTCAAATTTGAACTCCACAGCACAGTCCTCCCCCCAAAAAACTTTAAGCACAAATGACTTTTGTGACTAAGGGACTGTTAAAGATACCAGCTTTACTCTAGTATGAGTCTTTTAAAGCAAACTGCTTGAGTATGTGACTTTTTCTTTATCATTTAATAAAAATATCCAAAGCAAAGTAAAAGAACTGTTCTGAACTGTTCTTTTAATTCTAGAATGAAAGGCACAAAGTTGACACATAGTTTTGAAACTTATCCCAAGAAAATTAGCAGGACACAAACTTTATTTATTTTTCCCCAATTTTATTTTCATAAAGTTGTTCACAGTAATTGATTACATTCAATACTTCAACACTGATCCACCACCATTACACCTTTCCTCCACCATTATTTCGAATTTCCACACACCACTAAAGCCCGCCCCACAGGCAGATACTAAATAACTTATTTTGTATTGCTTCTTGTGGATAGTACAGGATGCCCTAATATCCATGACACTTGATGGCTGGGAGATGGGGAGGGATGTACCGTACCAGTCTCCATGACAGGACATAAAACTTTATTACATGATTACACAAAAGTGTAAAAAGAAAACTTTTTAAAAGAAAACTATTACATCAGACACGTGGTTTCTTCTTTCCTTTTTTTGTTTTTTGTTTTGCTTTTTGGCCACAGATGGCTGCTGCTCAAAGCTTACTCCTGGCTCTGCATGCAGAAATCACTCTTGGCAGGGCTCAGGGTATGAAGACACAAAAAGTTTTCTGAACACACTAAAGGAGAATGGTCTAGTGCCTGAGGTTAAAGTGTTCCATGAAGAGAGAGAATGTATAACCAGGAGCCAGGGGTGGGGGTGGAGAGGGAATTCCCAAAACAAAGGGTGAGAGGTGATTTGGAATCTGATTCAACTTAAAGTTTTCACAGAGTACTGCATGTCACCTTGGACAAAGCCAATGTGGGTTCAACCCCCAGCTTTGCAAATGCCCCCAGAGTATTGTCTAGGAGAGAACCCTGAGCACAGAGTCAGAAGAAAGCACTGAGCACCACTTGGTGTGGCCCAAAGTACACAAAATAAAACAAAAAGTTTCTACTCTATTATGAATTCTTATCAACCACCTGGATTCAGTTCTGGAAACTTCCTGATTTAGTCTGGTGAACAAAATAAAAAAAAAAAAAAAAAACTAAACCCGGACATCTTACAGGCCTGCCCGTAGTTTGTATGTTATTTTTACAAGTGTGACTAGGTTTTACATGCTCCAAATGGTATTTTTTATTTTAGAGATAACTCTCTTAGGTTAACCAGTAAAAGCTAAAAAAAAAAAATCTGACCAAAAGTTAAAATGATATGGCTACAACTAATATGTTCCGAATTTGCAGGAACTGAGAAATTCACAGGCTTTACCACAGGAAGATTTTAACACACCTAGATCCTCTTTTCTTGTCCTGACTAAATATCCACACTAAATAATGTGTGTGCTACTCATATAGGTGAGGGTGGGAGGCAAAACATTTATGTGGACACCTATTTAGATCCCACAGTTTAACCTGAGTTCTCTGGCTGGACTTTTAGACTCTGAAACAATTTTATTTAAATCAATTAATCTATATTTTATTGCTGTTCCTAAAGAGAACTCAAAGCTTTCAATCAAAATAGGAACTGGGGATGGGCTGAGTGTGTGCTCTGCAGATAGGGGCTCTGTCCTTGGTACTGCAGAACCCCACAGATGCCATGAGGTGATACCCCAGAGCACTGAGCTGGAAATAGCCCCCAAGCACTGCCACACATAGGCTCCCAAACCAAACCAAAGTGAAACGAACCGAAAGGTTTAAAAATACTGCATACAGGGGCTGGAATGATACTACAGTGGGTAGGGTGCTTGCCTAGCCCGTGGCAGACCCAGGCTCAATTTCTGACATCCCTGTATGGTTCCCTGAGCCCACCAAGAGTGATCCTGAGAGGCTAGAGTGATAGCACAGCAGGTAGGGCATTTGCCTTGCATGCAGCCAAACCTGGTTCGATTCCTAGCATCCCATATGGTTCCCTGAGCACCTCCAGAAATAATTCCTGAGTGCAGAGCCAGGAGTAACCCCTGTGCATCACCAGGTGTGAGCCAAAAAGTCAAAAAAAAAAAAAAAAGAGTGATCCTGAGTGCAGAGGTAGAAGCAAGCCCAGAGAGCAGCTGAGTATGGCACAAAAACAAAACCCAAACATAAATACTGCATTCAAATTTCTACCTTCTCTCATGGAAAATTTCTTGTCTTAAAAGCATTTATATTACAGAATTATTCATTTAAGAGGAATTTATGCTGATTATTTACTTCTAAGATCAATAGTTAAGAAAGATACATTTTCCTAACTGCAAAACAAAAAATATACATACCTTTTTTCCAAATCTCTGATTTTCTCTCTTAGAGGTTCAACTATCTAAAAAAAAAAAATAACAAAAATCAGTTTTAAACAAGAATACAATCTGCTACCATCAATGTTTCCAATAGGCGTGGCAAAATACAAAGCAGTAATTTTTTTTTTCTACAACTCACTTCTGGTTTGAAATTAACATATATCCACTCAAAGCACAATCCTAGAAATTTTAAATTGCCTGCTGGAACTCTTATCCAAACATCTTACAAGATTTATCTTTGTGCTTACCTTGATAGGAGCAATGCTTTTATTTACTTTGAGATTTTGGGGCCAAATCTGGCTATACTGAGGGGCTAGTTGCAGTTTACCAGTCAGGAGCTCACTCCTGGTTGTGCTCAGTGGGCCTGGGGACTAGGTGGTACTGGGTATCAAATCCAGGGCCTCACACATGCAAGACACATGCTCTAAAATACAGCTATACCCACAGCCCACAATGAGCAACACTAAAGTTGGTTTAGGCTCACAAAACCCAGAAGCCCCAAACACTCATTCATTTTGCAGGAATTGAAGAATTCCCAGAGTGTTGCCCACACACACACAGAGTGTGTTGGCAGGGTGGGGGGAGGGAGATCATCTTGTTGGAACTATATCCACATCAGTTGACTCTAGAACATCAACTGCACACTCCGAGCACGGTCCATATCCATGGGGTGGGGGTGGGGGGGGGGGGGAGAGGCAATTCAAGGGATTCTCCAGGTTTCTGGCATTACCTCCACACCACAAATGAATAATTTCTCCTCCCCATCCACAGCCCAGGTTTCAACAGTCTGTATCTATTTTCTTCGTTTTGGGGGAGTCACACCCAGAGATGGCCAGGGGTTAGTGCTGTTCTGCACTCAGAAATCTTTCCTGATAGTGCTCGGGGACCAAATGGGATGCTTGGACTCAAACCCACATATAGGCAAATGCCCTACCCGCTGTACTACCTCTCTGATCCCTGTATCTACTTTCATCTGCTGAAACATATGCGATTATTTGTATGCAGAAGGTATGAAATCAAGCTTTCAAGAGAGATGCATGCATCTGGCCTAGTGGGGCAGGTGAGGCTGTTTTTCCTTTTCACATCTGCTCAAGAGAGTCAATGTTGGTGCTTGTCTCTGTGTGGGTTATGACGATCATCTCCTCTAAGAGATTCTAGAAAGGCACACCTGAAAATTTACATAAAGGTTTACAATCCAAGCTGCTTTAATGTCGAATTGCTTCACTACATTGTACCTTTACAAAATGCACAAACGTTGACAGAGACCTATAAAGTCTCCTCTTAAACAAGGCAACACTTTGGAGAGCTGACTTCAACCACATAGAGCAGCAGCAGTCCGGCACAATGAACACAGAAGTACACACAATAGTAAGTTGACAAAGAATACAATAGAGAAACTAACCTCTTCAATCTTGCTTTCAAGCTTTATTTCACCATTTTCTTGGAGAGACCTGTTGAGCAGAAAGCTACAAGACTGAGATCAATTGAAGTTCTTTTTGAAAATTAATTTCATTGATTTACTGAACTTATTTATTAAAAATCTATTTCTAAACAAAGTACTTTAACACAAACCAAAGGCGGCATATTATTTCTCTCTCCTTCCTAAGCATCGACCAATGTACCAATTCACTCCAGAAGAAGCAGCATCAGAGGAAACAAGGCAAGTGGAGTATGGGAATCTTTTAAAATACATCCCAGAACATGCTCAGCACCACTCAAGAGCTGTTTCTAGTGCATTTAAGATAATCTCGCTTTCACATTATCCTCAGCATGGGGATACATTAGAAGCAGGAAGACTGTTTGCAGAAGAACAAGTCTGTTGTGCTTTCCTGGGGATTTAGTGAAAGCGGGGGGTGAGGGGGCGGGGGGGGGGGCGTACTCTTTCAAAGTAAAATAGCAGAGCTTCTCTAAGCCATAGTAGGTGTGTGATCAACCTTGCAGAATCAAGTCCCGATGAAAAGCCTGCAGAACGACGCCTGTGACAGCACTGCAATTCCTAACCAGCTGAATGGTCACAAAATCATCGCTCACGGTTGCTAGTCTTATATGTTCATTGCCAAGAAATGCAAAATGGAGCAGATTTTTCTTTAAGGGTGACATAGCACTAAGGATGTTCTGTTCTTCAAAAACTGTGAAGACAGAATCTAACTTTTTGCTTTAGCTTTTAGAACAATAACACAAAGATTGTACTTCAGCAACATTTTTCTTCTATCCGGACAAAAAGTACCAAGTCAGAAGTCTCCTCAGCCCCAATTCTAAGGTAGGCAGCTGGTTTTGGCCACCTCTGCTCTGCTCCTGGGGTCTAGACAGCCAGGGCAGGGGACAGTTCCCTTCTCAAAAGTCATCCAAAAAAGCTCCCCCTGGCTTTTTTTTTTTTGCTTTTCAGGTCACACCTGGAGATGCTCAGGGGTTACTCCTGGCAGTGCTCAGGAGACCATATAGGATGCTGGGAATCGAAGCCGGGTTGGCCCCATGCAAGGCAAACGCCCTACTGACTGTGCTATCACTCCAGCCCCCCAAAAGCTCCCCTTTTGTTCTAATTCAAGTCAGGAAAAATATGTGATGGACATTTTAGTGGAGTGACAGGTAAAGACAACTCCCTCACAGGAAGGGAGATAGGTGCCTGCACGGGCTATGCCAGGATTCTGACATGTCCGGGTTAGCGTCACATCTGGGTTTACCTGGGTAAACCTTCCAGTCTATCTACTGCATTTCTATAGAAGAGCTAAATGTGTCAACCAAAAAAAAAAAAAAAGAAAATCATCTCACTAGAAACATGTTCTTGGGTTAGAGAGACAGCACAAGGGTTAAAGCACTTGCCTTGTAGTCAGCCAGTCCCCATTCTATTCCCCAGCACCACATCCTTCCTGATGCACTGCTAGGAGCTAGGAGTGATGCCTGAGCATATGGCTAGGAGTAGGCTCTAAGTACTGCCATATGTAGCCCCCAAATCCCCCCAAATTTTTAAAATGTCTATGTACATACACACATATACATATTCCTCAATTAATTTTCATCCTCAGTGGTGTACATGTGACCAATGAAATGTGTCTATGAAAACCCAGCCACAATTTCCAAGTTATAGAAAACCATTTACCTCATGTTCACGAAGTTGCCCCAAACAGCTGTAAGAGAAAAGAGAAAATTAAATGACTAAGTTTGCAACAGTAAGGATTCCAAACAATCCCATTTTACTTTTCAACTAATATTATCACGAAGAACATTTAAATTATAGTCCATGCAGACAACAGGAAACATGCATCACTTTTAAAAGCATTAAATCCCATAAAAAAAAAAAAGAAAAAAAAGAAAAGAAAAGAAAGAAAGAAAACATAATCCTACGTTCCTCTTGTATTCTAAAGATTCTCAAAAGAGGTCTGGAGTTCAGCTGTGTGTTTTCACAAGCCATGTGTACCCTTCTCTGAGGCAGAATCAAAGATCAAAGCCCCAAGAGAAACCCCAGAGGCCAGTGCAACCTCTTTCTCTCGCTATCAGCAAAACAAAGCCAGTGAGGTTCAATCAGGTCCTAATGTGACTTCATTCCCATAGGAAATCCATCTCTTCTTGGCACTTGCTACTGAGACTCCCAGTGTGTCCCCCTGCCAACAGGAAGCAAGATGGGTTCTTGGGAGCCATCAGTGTGGCTGTACCAAGGTGACCTGACCACAGATCAGCCCTGAGCTCACGTGCACAGGACCAGAGGCCACTAGTGGTTGCACTAGTCTCTGACCAAAGGAATATTTCATACTGACACAGCACCATAAGGGAGAGGGACAAATGTCCTGAACTTGACTCTGAGCAAGCCACTTGTGCCCAACTGCCTGAGCCACCATGGAGCCAGGTGCTCTCAAAGGTTTGGGATGCTAGGCAAGAACAGACGCATAGCAGAGCCCACCTCCCTAACCTGGTGCTGGCAAATCTCAGAGCCTCTGAAGTAGGATCTGCTCCTGGCCATCTGCTCTTTGCCATTCTCTGACACAGTGCCCTGGGTTAAGGGACATAATGGAAAAACTTAGTGTCCACTAACAGGTTCCCTGACATGTCAAATTCCCACTCTCACAGGAGGGAGGGAGAAAAACAGAGACAGAGAAGATGGTGATCAACGGCTAGAACACAGTTCTGCGGGAAAGCTCAGGCCATGCAGTGTGAGGGCTCTGAACTCGAACCAAGAGAGGAGGAGGAAAGAAAAAGGAGAACAAAAGAAAGAAAAGGGTTAGCAAAAGGGAATGCCCTGCCACAGAGGGGGGGTAGGGTGGGAGGATAGGGTGTGGGGGTGGGAGGGCTACTAGGATCATTGGTGGTGGAGAATGGGTACTGGTGGAGGGATGGGTACTCGATCATTGTATAACTGAGAACCCAAGCACGAAAGTTTGTAAGTCTACAACTGTACTTTATGGTGTTTCACTAATAAAAATAATTAAATAAAAATGTAAAAAATTTAAAAAAAAAAGAAAAGCCAGCAACAAAAAAACTGAGCATGGCAAGAAAGGCAGCTGGAAAAAAGTAAAGAGGCTAAAGTACATGCCTTATATTCAGGTAACCCAGGTTGGATCCCCAGCACCCTAAGCATGAATGAGTACAGTCCTGCAATCCCTAACACCACAGGTTGAAGGGGGCTGAAGCAATAAATACAGTAGTAATCTCTCAATCTCTCTCAATCTCTCTCTCTCTCTCTCACTCTCTCTCTCTCTACCCTTTCTTCCTCCCTCTACTTTTGGGCATTCTAGTTTGCAATACTGATACCGAAAAGGTTATAAAAAAAATCCCTTCACCTACTTTTAACCGTCAGATCTTGTCTGGTATGATCATTCCCAACTATTATGGTCATATTCGTCTCTTCCCTAGCTTACCTATCTAAGCCCCACACATACCTGTGATTAGTTCCTAACCCCTGTTTTCCATTGATGTTAGTCTTCTAATATATATTTTTCATATGCTACAAATAAATGAAGTCATTCTATATCTGTGCCTCTCCTTCTGACTCACTTCACTCAGCATGATACTCTCCATGGTCCATCCAGTTATAGGCAAACTTCATGATTTCATTTTTCCTAAGAGCTGCATAGTATTCCATTGTATAGAGGTGCCAGTCATCTGTTCTTGGGCACCAAGTTTGTTTCCAGATTCTGGCTTATTATGAATAGTGCTGCAGTGAACACAGAAATGCAGATGGTGTTTTGGGCCCCCAGGGTATATTCCCAGAAGTTGTACTGCTCGATCAAATGTGAGCTCAATTTCTAGTTTTTTCAGGAATGTCCATATTGTTTTCCAAAAAGGCTGGACCAATCAGTATTCTCACCAACAATTAATTAGAGTCCCTTTCTCCCCACATCCATGCTAACACTGGTTGCTTTTGTTCTTTTGGATGTGTTCCAGTCTCTGTGGTGTGAGATGATATCTCATTGTTTTGATCTGCATCTCCCTGATTAGTGATGAAGAGCATTTTTTCACGTACGTTTTTACCATTCCAATTTCTTCTTTGAGAAAGTTTCTGTTAATTTCATAGCCCCATTTTCTAGTGGGACTGGATGTGTATTTTTACAGAATTCAGCCAGTGCTTGGTATATTATTGATTATTCAAAAGGGTTTGAGGTGAATATCCTTTCCCATTCTATAGACTGTCTTTAAATCCTGGTCATTATTTCTTTTCAGGTGCAAAAGCTTCTTAGTTTAAGAGAGTCCCATTTGTTCATCTTTGCTTTCACTTGCCTGGTCATTGGCATTTCAGCTTTAAAAATACCTTTAGCATCAATATTGTGGAAGGGTCTGACGACCTTTTTCTTCAATGCATTATGGATTCTGTTCCGACAGTGAGGTTTTTAACTCATTTTAATCTGACTTTTGTGCATGGCGTTAGGTAGAGATCTTGAGTCCTTTCTTTTTCTTTGCATGTACCTGTCCAGTTTTACGAGCACCACTTGTTAAAGAGGCTTTCCTTGCTCCACTTCATATTTCTTCCTCCCTTATCAAACATTCACAGTCACTGTCCTCCCGTTGTTCATTGATTTGCTTGAGCAGGCCCAGTAATGTCTCCATTGTGACAACTGTTACTGTGTTTGGCATATCGAATATGTCACAGGTAGCTTGCCAGGCTTTTCCGTACGGGCAAAATACTCTCAGTAGCTTGCCAGGCTCTCCGTGGGGGCGGAGGAATCGAACTCGGGTCAGCCATGTTGGCCGCTTGCAATGCAAACGCCCTACCCAATGCGCTACTGCTCCAGTCCATCAAACATTAAGTGATCGTATTTGATATTAAGTGATCATATTTGAGAGTGTGTGTAAGGATATTCAACTCTACATCATTGGTCTGCAGATCTATCTTTATTGCAATACCACGCTGTTTTAATTACTACTGCTTTGTAGTACAGTTTGTAGCTGGGGAAGGTGATGCCTCCCATTTTTTCCCCCAAGAATTGCTTTAGCTATTCATGAGGGCTTATTGTTTATATGAATTTCAGTAGTGTTTGATCAATTTCTTTGAAGAATATCATGGATATCCTTATAGGGATTGCACTGAATCTGTATAATGCTTTGAGGAGTATTGCCATTCTGACAATGTTGAGCAGGGGATGTGTTTCCATTTCCTTGTGTCCTCTTTTATTTCGTCAACTAGTGTTTTGTAGTTTTCTCTGTACAGGTTCTTTACCTCCATAGTTAAGCTGATTCCAAGGTATTTGATTTTCTGAGGCATGATTGTGAATGGGAGTTTTTTCATATTACTTTCTTCTCTCTCATTATTTGCACATAGGAAAGCCATGAACTTTTGGGTATTGATTTTATAGCCTGTGACTTTAATATACAAATCTATTGTTTCTAGGGGGTTTGTGATAGAGGCTTTAGGGTTCTCTATATTATCATGTCATCTGAAAATAATGAGACCTTGATTTCTTCCTTTCCTATCTGGATGTCCTTAATATCTTCTCCTTCCCTAACCACTATGGTGAGTACTTCCAGTACTATATTGAATAGAAGTGGTGAGAGTGGGCATCCTTGTCTTGTCTCCGATCTTAGAGGGAAGTTTTTTAGTTTTCCCCCATCAAGAATAATGCTTGCTGTAGGCTTGCGGTAGATCATTTTGACTATATCGAGGAAAGTTCCTTCAATTCCCATTTTGCTGAGTTTGCACCATAAACAGGTGCTAGATCTTGTCAAATGCTTTCTCTGCATCTATTGATATGAACATAAGGTTTTCATATTTACTTTTATTGATATGATGGATTACTTGCAAATGTTATTGATTGACTTGCAAATGTTAAACCATCCTCGCATCTCAGGATGATGATACCACTTGGTTATGGTGTATGATCTCTTTGATGAGTCGTTGGATTCTATTTACTAATTTTTTGTTGAGGATTTTTGCATCTGTGCTCATCAGGGATATCACCCTTTTCTCTTTCTTTCTTTCTTTCTTTCTTTCTTTCTTTCTTTCTTTCTTTTTCTCTTCTCTCCTTCCTTCCTTCCTTCCTTCCTTCCTTCCTTCCTTCCTTCCTTCCTTCCTTCCTTCATGTCTATCTCCTTTTGGTGTTAACAGTGGAATGTTCCTCATAAAAACTGTTTGGTAGTGTTTCTGCTTCTTCAATTTTCTGGAAAAACTTGAAAAGGACTGGCAATAAGTACTCTTTAAATGTCTGAAAGAATTCATTATGAATCCATCTGGACCTGGGCTTTTGTTTTTGGAATGACGTTTGGATTACTGTTTCAATTTCCTTGATAGTGATAGGTCTATTCAGGTATTCCAAATCTTCTTGGTTCAGCCTTGGGAGGTAATAGGAATCCAGGAATTTATCCATTTCCTCTAGGTTCTCTTATTACGTGGCATACAGACTTTCAAAGTAATCTGTTATCTTTTGAATTTCTTATATTTCTGCTAGATTTCCCCCTTTTCATTTCTGATTCAGTTTATTATGGTTCTCTTTCTTTGTGAATCTTGCTATCAATCTTGTTTATTTTTTCAAAGAACCAGCTCTTGGTTTCATTGATCTTTTGGATTGTTCTCTGGGAATCCAGCTTGTTGATTTCTGCTCCAACTTCTATTATTTCCTTTCTCCTGCCTGGTTTGAGCTCTTTTGGTTGGTCATTTTCTAAGCTCTGAAGCAGTGAAGTCAAATTATTTTATGTGGGTCCT